CTGTCTTTGCCATTGTTGGGGCAGATGATCCCTACAGATTCTATAACTGGAGTGTGACATACGGTGACATCTACCCACTTGGAGTTCGACAGCAGGTGAGTGAGTCCACACCGCCGTTTGATTTTGATGGTTGCTTAGCTTTCTAGGGACGTTGAGCTCCTTGACTTAATGGACACTAACTCACCTTTACTCTTTTTACTGATCCGGTTGATTTTAAACTCTTAAATTTGACTTAAAAAAGAATGCTTCTTTGCTTGTGATTGATACAGGGCATACTCATCAATGGGCAATTCCCGGGTCCTGATATTCACGCTGTTACTAATGATAATCTCTTCATCAACGTCTTTAACAGCTTAAACGAGTCTTTTCTTCTTTCCTGGTAAGATCTTTGTCTTTTCACCAAAAAAAATTCAAATATACTGAAAATTTTCCCCACATCCCACATGGGTATATGTCCATGATTTGAGACAGCTTTCCTCTGTCAACAAAAAGCAGGGAACACGAACTTAATCACTAAGCATTGCATTACTTTTCTTTTCAAAAAGATTTGTGGATTTGGAGAATGTTTGATTGGTCTGATTGCATATGGGCTTGCCTTCTAACAAAAGCATCCATGTGCTTCTTATGGGTATTGTCAATTGTGTAGATCTGCCCGAAGCTGACCTGAATTAGGCAACACATTATTCCAGTAAGTAGAAAAATGACACTTTAGAAATCTCAAGAAAAGGTGTCATATTAATCTTTTTTTTTTACCATGTTAAAAGCAGTCCGGTGACACTGTAAAATTTCTCTAACATGGGTGATCCTAGTGTTGGTTTCAGCTCGTGACTATGGTTATGAATGTCTATTTTGTAAGTACTCTGCTCAACTGTAATGAGAAAGCGACTTAGGCTTTGATTAATAGACTCCATTGATGGCAGAATTGACGGGCGAATTGTAAACTAATCTAGTAACTAATTTTACCTAAACTCATAATCATCAATGATTAATATGGTCCACTTTTTATTAGCTGTTAGCTGTCCAGCATTCAAGAATATCCAGGAAGAAATCTGTGGATCTGGATAGCCTGGATATAGATATGACACCTAGATGCAGTTGGGTTATTTTCGAATTTTGCTTTTTACATTTCCCTGCTACAAAAACATGCAACAAACTCAGATGCTCCCATTCCAGTGAATAAACATATTATACTGAATCATGTAAATATGATTTTTTATGTAACTCTCGTGTATGTTTGGTAAATTATAGGGCTGGGATTCAGCAGAGGAGGAATTCATTTGAGGATGGTGTGTTTGGAACAACATGCCCCATCCCACCAGGGAAGAACTTCACATACATTCTCCAAGTGAAGGATCAAATAGGAAGCTTCTATTACTTCCCATCTCTTGTATTCCACAAGGCTGCTGGTGGGTTTGGTGGGATCAGAATCCTTAGCCGGCCGCTGATTCCAGTTCCCTTCCCGGATCCCGCCGGCGATTACACTGTTCTTATTGGAGATTGGTACAAGGCTAATTACACGGTAATCAACCTCCACACACCCTGTTATGGTGATGGTCACCATTAAATTTGTCTTAGACTTTGAAAATTATCAAATTTTTATCTTAATTTGATTATTAAAAATAATTAATAAAACAATTAAAATTTATTATTTAAAAAATTAAAATTAATTCATAAATAAATATTTGTAAATATCATAACTAACTATTTAAAAACAAACTACAAACAGTTAAATTAGTGTCCTCAGCAAAACTTTTTGTGATAATAGCCTCTTCCCCACACCACACCCACTTTACTCTTTTGTTTTTTTTTGCCAACCACTCACACTTTCCCTTGATTTGTGTATTTATATTATTCAAAAGTTTAGTTTGGGGGGATAAGATAACTGGCATGTCTGGGTATTGTTTGTGTCGGTAACATTTGGAGGTTCTTGAAATTTCCGTGACTATTCTCTGCCGCTGCTTTTATGCTTTACAGCTGGTTTTGCTGATCCTCCCACGTTTTATCATATCCTGAGACACTATTATCTAGTTGCTGACCCCTTAGTCTAAATAAAGTGTGCTTGTCCTTAACCGAACATGTCGCATGCCATATGATCCAAGCTTGTGGTATCATGCATGTCTCTGGGTGATAATGATTTGGTTTGTGCTTGTCTAGGTTTTGAAGACTCGATTGGATCGTGGGCATAAGCTGCCTTTACCTGATGGAATCCTCATCAATGGCCGAGGACCTGGTGGTGCCTACTTTAGTGTTGAGCAAGGTATGAAACTATGAATCAATTCTTCTCCCTTAATTGTAGTTATGATAATAGTTATATAGTAAGAGATATTCCTTTTACTAATTTCGAAATTTGAACTTAAAGGCTCAAACTCTTAGTCACATTAATCTCACTATTGGTTTTTTTTTCTTAGAATGCCAGTTATTCATGATCATTTCTTGTATTTTATTTTACAGGAAAGACATACAGGCTTAGGATATGCAACGTTGGGTTGCAAAATTCCCTCAACTTCCGCATTCAAAACCACAAGATGAAATTGGTAGAAGTGGAAGGAACACATACTCTCCAGACTTCATACTCCTTCCTTGATGTTCATCTTGGCCAATGCTACTCTGTCCTAGTTACTGCTGATCAGCCTGCACATGACTATTATGTTGTGGTCTCCACCCGCTTCACCTCCAAGATACTCACCACAACTGGAGTCCTCCATTACAGTAACTCTGCTGGTTCAGTATCGGGTCCAATCCCAGGTGGACCCACCATCCAAGTTGACTGGTCTTTGAATCAAGCCCGTTCTATCAGGTACTTGATAAATTCATGTCTATGCTACTGATGACAAAGTGCTATTAGGCGTGCTGATTATTATTTATGTTGTTTTGTTTTAGGACTAACCTTTCAGCTAGTGGACCAAGGCCTAACCCACAGGGGTCATACCACTATGGTTTGATTAACACAACCAAGACCATCAGGCTTGCAAATTCTGCTGGTCAGGTTAATGGGAAACAAAGATATGCTGTCAATAGTGTATCCTATGTAGCACCAGACACTCCCATGAAGCTAGCCGACTACTTCAAGATTGGAGGAGTGTTCCGAGCTGGAAGCATCTCTGACAATCCTACTGGTGGAGGTATATACCTTGACACATCAGTCCTGCAAGCTGACTACAGAGCTTACGCTGAAATCGTGTTTCAGAATGATGAGGATATTATACAGAGCTGGCACCTTGATGGTTATGCTTTCTTTGTTGTTGGGTAAGTAGTAATGACTTTGTTACCTATGTAATCTAGTACATTGTGCTAGATTGAATTGATTCATATATTGAAATGCAGCATGGATGGAGGGCAATGGACAACTGACAGTAGGAACCAGTACAACCTCCGGGATGCAGTTTTCCGGTGCACCACTCAGGTAAGAACTGAAATTTCCCTAATATGAAATGTGGATTAGGACCAAAATCAAGATGTAATGCTTGGAATCTGTTGAGTGCAGGTATATCCCAAGTCATGGACTGCCATATATGTGGCACTAGACAATGCAGGAATGTGGAACCTGAGGTCCGAGTACTGGGCTAGGCAGTACCTCGGACAGCAACTTTATTTGCGTGTGTATACAGAATCAACTTCACTCAGGGATGAATTCCCTGTCCCAAAGAATGCCATTCTTTGCGGTAGGGCAAGTGGCCACAGCACAAGACCTTTCTAAACGAACTTAGAATAAAAGAGGATCCACGATTGGATTGGTAAGGATAACCAATCTAGCTTAGGTGGATGAGGAGTTGAGTTTTGCTGGTGATCTTATTTATTTAGAGCGAGTTAATGGTGCTTGCTTATGTCTCAGAGAGTGTACTACTAGAACTTTGTAAGTCCTCAGCTCGAGGTCACATTCTTTATTCACTATAGACTGTATCGCCATTGTTATTGCTCAAGTTTCCACTGTTAAAGTGTGATTCTCTTGTTTGTTTAGGCTTTGTAATAACAAGTGTGTAATGCAATCAATGGTTGCTTGTAGAAGCCTTAATATATAACTCTTTTTTTCAGCCTTCATTTATATGGGCAGTTTTATCTAGCTTTTTAAGTGTAGGGTTTACTCATGATTATACCATAAATTATTTTTACTTTAAAATCATTTAAGTATTGACTAGATCTCAATGCTTATTATATTTATTCTGCATATTCGAGTAAAGTGGTTTGCTTTTTAAATAAGAATATCCTTAGATTTAATGTTTGAATTTTTAAATGATTTTTTAAAATTTTTTGTAAACATGTTAAAAAAAGTTGCTTACTATACTTAAATACTAAATCAAATGGTATAATATTTACTTATCAATAAATTTAATCCATTATTAGGTTAGTGCTCTTTTTTTTTTTTTTTATATTTGATTATAAGTTATATAAAAAAAATAACTTTCTTTTATTCTCAAATCTCTTCTTACTTGACTTAAGATTGAAATTTGAAATCTTCAATATGGAATCTTAACTTTTTAACCATTGTGCCATCCCATTGGGGTTTTAGTTAAACTTTAGGTCAATGACTTAAATTTGAGTTAAAAAGAAAAAACTAATTGCCAAAAAAGAAACTAATTAAACCAAAATAAAGAGAAAATGTCCGAGCGGGCTTATATGAACTGAACTCTGAAACATCGGATGGACTTTAAAGCCTAGTTTTTGGCCTTCTACTTTAAAGCCCATTAACTCCCTCGAAACGTCGCGAGAGTTCCCCGACATCATTCGAACCAAAACTGAATAAATAAAGGCACAGAGATCGTCTCCAATCAACACCACTACACCTATTGTAGCTAACCAATAACACATCTCCACGTGGTTATCAAGTTTTCAAAAGATCACTCTAGTCAAACAGTCAACACATCGTGTGGCCATTAGAAATAGAATCCATCAATTGATACCAAACCTTCATCAACACCATATCACTCTGTTTATAGAACCTGCGTAGCCGAACTGCGTAGCCGAACTCAAAACCCTGCTTCCGTTTCCCGGCGGGATCGAGTTCTTCTTCGTCTTCCTCAGGTACGATTTCTTAAATCTAGGGTTTTCTTTCTTTCCTCCTCTGTTTCCGTTTCTATGTTGCCTGAGAATCTGTAACTGTTTTCAAGTTTTTTTTTTTTTATTTATTGGCTAACGATAGCATTATGTCTTGAACATTGTCTTAGACGAAACAGCTCGTTATGCACATTTAGGGTTCCTGTTTTCCTGATTTTGGTTTTGGATTTTTACTGGGTTTTGGTTCTTGTTCTCGATTCAGGACTTTGTTTGAGCAGCGAGCTTTAAGCTACCCTCGTCCATGGCGGTATGTTATTTCCCCAATACTCAATTAATTTGGTGATTTTGTATTTCGTTCTCTTTTGTACTCTGTTTTGGACTTGTATTTTCCTGTTAATTTTTGTAGATTGAGAAAATTCTTAAAGATGAAGCTAGCGAAGAGAAAGGGGAGCGTGCCAGAATGGTGAGTCACTATGCATTATGCTGATAATCTAGTTTTGAAAGGAAAGAAAAAAATGAAAAGAGGCTCGTTTCGTTTAAGATTCTGGAGAGAGACATTTCTTTCAGTTTTGCCATTGTGGATAGCTTAATTGATGGCATTTTTTACATCTTTTTTTTTTAATCTCATTCAGGCGTCATTTGTTGGGGCAATGGCAATTGCTGACTTGGTTAAGACAACGTTAGGGCCGAAGGGGATGGTAACGTTTCTTTGTTTACAAGTTTAAGGACAAAATTATTGTTTGTTATGCTCTACTTTAGGTTGTGGCCTGGTTTTTGATTGAAATATCTTTGCAGGATAAAATCTTACAATCAACTGGCAGAGGACACCAGGTCACTGTTACAAATGATGGGGCTACCATCTTAAAGTCCCTCCATATTGACAACCCAGCTGCCAAAGTCCTTGTTGGTATCCTTAACCTAAGTGTTGTCTGCTTCACTGTTATTCTTACTATGTACCAAGATGTTTTGGGTTGTGAGTGTTCATTAATCTTGTATGAGGTGGGAACAGGTCTTCTATTTTTTTTTTTTAAATTGTTTTCTGTACTAGACATTATGGGTGCTGAATACATGTCTTTATGATGAAAATATATCTTGGCAGTAAGAGATGCTAACAGACTTCTCTACATGACTGGAATTTATTTTGTTACTTGTTCACCATCCTTAATATGAGCTTCAGACATATCAAAAGTTCAAGATGATGAAGTTGGTGATGGGACAACCTCCGTTGTTGTTTTGGCTGGGGAGCTTTTGCGTGAGGCAGAAAAACTGGTGGCAGCCAAGATACACCCCATGACAATAATATCAGGTTCTTTTGGGTTCTACTGGTGTATTTATTTATTCATCTTATCATTAATGGAGCTCTTTATCTAGGTATTAGATTCTGCCATGCCACTTTCATTTGAAGTATTGGAATCTTGGTTTGATTTCCTGTTGTCCAGAAATTTAGTAGGAGACACTGCATCTCAATTCTGTCACCACTTTTGTTGTAAGTTTTGTAGACATGACAGCTATCAATCCTCAGAAATCAAGGAATTCCATTATAATTATGAGTATAACCTATTATCTTCCTCCCCTTCTCGCCATCCCATTTTGCTTCCTTCTTGGAGTGAATTATTTGCATAACTAGTTTTAAGATTGTTGTCCATTGCCTTTAGAGATCTTTACTCTCTCATGAACTAGAAATGTAGTTTCATGTGGAATCTATGTGGTTGCTATTCCTTTATATTTTATTTCAGTTGTGTGTGAAACATTACCTAATTAAAGGTCAAATGTATGTGTTTGAACTCTAGGATTCCGGATGGCAGCAGAATGTGCTCGTGATGCTTTGTTGGAGAAAGTTGTTGATAATAAAGAGAATGAAGGTAGTGTTGCCTGATATTCTTAATTTTCCTCCATAAATACTTTAGCAGTGTTGTCCACACTTGCTTTATTGTTGTCTATGTTCTAGATTTTGATAATTCTCTTGCTGCTTAATGTATGATATCACTTTAATGTTCCAGAGAAATTCAAGTCAGACTTGATGAAGATTGCAATGACTACTCTGAGTTCCAAAATTCTCTCACAAGATAAGGAATATTTTGCACAGCTTGCAGTGGATGCTGTTCTAAGGCTAAAGGTGTTGATTATTGTGATTTCAATAATTTAAGATTCACCAGAAGTGTTTTACTGCCTTTAAATATTAGGGATTATATTTTATCTTTTTTCTCAATCAAATGGTTATTTTTTAACCATTTAACAACTTTGGTTTATAGTCTTTATTCTTTAAGTTGGTTGTTAGAAGGTTGTGTTTTAAACCTAATGGTACATATAGTTTGTTATTGGTTGTGAAAAATATGTTCCAAGATTCTGTTCAAGATTCCAGACTGGGTTCAGAGTCATTCATTTTATATTTATTTACTTTATTCCAATTTTCATTTTCCTTCTTAATTGAGTTTGTCTAGTAACACTGTTGGAAACTGCAGGGGAGCACAAACTTAGAGGCTATCCATATTATCAAGAAACCTGGAGGTTCATTGAGGGATTCCTTCTTAGATGAAGGGTGGGTAAACAATCTTATCTTCCTTTTTAATTTGGGTGCACTTTAAAGTTTAAACATCATTTGCTAACAGAGTTTTGTGCAAACTCATATGTTTTGGGTTTAAGGAGTCACTTAGCATTTTTGGTGATTTAAACCATGGAATCTATGCTTTCAGATTCATTCTTGACAAGAAAATAGGTGTTGGACAACCAAAACGCATAGAGAATGCAAAGATCTTGGTGTCAAATACTGCAATGGATACAGATAAGGTGAAGATATATGGTGCACGTGTTCGTGTTGATTCAATGTCTAGGGTTGCAGAGATTGAAGCTGCTGAGAAGGAAAAGATGAGAGAGAAGGTGCAGAAAATCATAGCACACGGGATAAACTGCTTTGTTAACAGGCAGCTGATCTACAATTTCCCTGAGGAACTCTTTGCCGATGCGGGCATACTTGCAATTGAGCATGCTGATTTTGATGGTATAGAGCGTCTAGCTTTGGTAACAGGTGGTGATATTGCGTCAACCTTTGACAATCCTGAGTCTGTTAAGCTTGGGCATTGCAAACTCATCGAAGAGATTATGATTGGTGAGGATAAGTTGATCCACTTTTCTGGCGTTGAAATGGGCCAAGCTTGTACCATAGTGTTGAGAGGTGCAAGGTATATTTCCTTAACATTTTACCCATGTTTTCCTTCTGTGGGTTGTTGTATTTTGACATTTTTTTTCTCTCTTTGATGTTGGATTGTATTTTGAAATTTTGACTTATACTTTCTGACTGCAGCCATCATGTGCTTGATGAGGCTGAGAGGTCTCTGCATGATGCCTTGTGCGTGCTGTCTCAGACTGTCAATGACAGCCGGGTACTGCTTGGAGGTGGATGGCCTGAGATGGTGATGGCAAAGGCAGTTGATGAACTGGCACGGAAGACTCCTGGAAAGAAGTCTCATGCCATTGATGCCTTCTCTCGGGCACTTGTGGCCATCCCAACAACTATTGCTGACAATGCAGGTCTTGACAGTGCTGAGTTGATAGCTCAGCTTCGTGCTGAACATCAGAAGGAAGGATGTACTGCAGGGGTAGATGTCATCACCGGATCTGTAAGTACTGGAAGTCAAATATTTTAATAGAATCCTGAATACAATTTATTATGAGCTCGTAATAAGTATCCTTTCTTTTGGATTGGTCATCTGTTTCTAAATATTGACAGGCAGGAGATATGGCTGAGTTGGGGATCTCTGAATCCTTCAAAGTAAAGCAGGCTGTCTTGCTTTCTGCAACTGAGGCAGCTGAGATGATTCTCAGAGTTGACGAAATCATCACTTGTGCTCCAAGGAGGAGAGAAGACAGAATGTGAAGATGAAATTGATTTGCGAGGGGATGTTTACTGTAATGTACGCTTCTCATGTCATCCACTATTATTAGATGGTGACTAGCAGTTTGGTCGAACCATGGAACTCTGAAACTTTTGTGGGGTGTTTTAGGGTTGATTTAGAAATTAAAAGGCATGCTGGATTCTTCTCAAGCTTTTGTTTTTTCTATTTTGGTAGCTATACGAATGTTTAATTTTCATTTTTCTTCAGAAACGGTATTTTTAGCCAATCTTAAGAAGCAGTATTCCCTTGGTTAATTACCATTCGAGTTTGCGTAATTTGTGATGATGAATAATTTGCTTAGCCTCATTCAAAAAATTATTTTCTAGCTTTTTCTTTCTAAATATAATTTGATTGAAGTAGATTAGTATGCACTGAAATAATCATTGAACTTGGTTGTACTCATGAATTGTGTAATTATTAAACTGCCCTTCAATTATTAAACGTATGTGTGTTTTTATTTTCTCTAATGTAAACCTTACTCTTTGTTGAGAGAGTAAGTACTTGAATGTTTATAATATTGAATATTAAAAATTTTATTTTAAAGTCTAAATTACATAAAATTTAAAAATAAAAATTGTTAAATAATAATAACTTTTAATATCCAGGAATACATTATATTTTTTTTAACAAAAACCTTGATTAAAAAAAAAAGAAAAAGAAAAAGAAAACCTTAATAAACGCAAGGAGGTACTGTTTCTTATGATGTAAACAGATACAGTGCTTGTGCATGAAGACAACGGCTAAGTCAATACGCAATCTTTTCATTGTCCATTTTAAAAAAAAAAGTCAATACGCAATCTTCTCATCGCCTATTTTCAACAAAAAATTCAATACGCAATCTTCTGTTGCAGGTGTCTAATTGAATTTCTTAGCATTATTTATCCAATAGCTAAAGGGTCGATAGCTCCAGTTGAGGGATTCGGTATCTAACATGGCGGATTCTTCATCTTTCGATCCACAGCGCCTTCTCTCTCACAAATTCCCCGAGGTATATCCACTTTTTGCAATCCTCTTCATTTGCTTCCCCTTTTCTCTTTGAGATTGACTCAAATCTCGCTTTGTTTGCAGCCGGATTTCAACTACACTGAGCGGTATACCTTCTAATTTCCTTTAATTCTCCTTACATATCTATTGTTTTCATCTTTGAGCTTGAGCTTGGTTCATGTAATTTATATGTAATTTAATGAACGAACAGAGATGCAGCCCTCTATGCGCTGGGTATCGGAGCATGTGGACGGGACGCTACTGATTCCGATGAGCTTAAATATGTTTACGATGAAAAGGGGCAGCAATATATCCAAGTATTAATCAATTGCTTTTGTTAATGGATTTATCTAGCATGTATTCTTAATTAGAATATTGATAATTTAATGAACGAACAGAGATGCAGCCCTCTATGCGCTGGGTATCGGAGCGTGTGGACGGGACGCCACTGATTCCGATGAGCTTAAATATG